TCCCCCCCCCACCCCCCCCCCCCGCGCGAAATTATAACAAAAAAAATTTGGGCCCCACCCGTCATCCAAAAAGCGAAGAGTGTATGTCTCGCACATAGCACAAGCCTTGGATTCCTTCTTTCGGGTTCAAAAAATCGATTTGGTTCATTCTCAAAAAACTTAAATCGAGGTATTTTGATTTTGTTTATGTCGAAACTCGTAGAGTATATGCATATTTATTTTGTTGAATGTGTTTTCATGTGAATTTGTGTTATGTTTGTGTTTAAATTTGTATCTTATTTATACCCGGATTGATTTATTAGCTTTGGGACATAAAATAGTTAAAAATTGATAAATAATTTTTATTGTTAATGTTATATTTTTATTTGCTTAAATAATAAATAAATATTATTTATTTAGTTTGTTGTTCATATGTATGTTATGTTTGTTGTTTTTATATGTAATAGTGGCCTTTTAGCGTAGTAAAATGTAGAGCCTTTTAGCGTATTAAAATATAGAGCCTTTTAGCGTAGTAAAATATAGAGCATTTTAGCGTAGTAAAATATAGAGACTTATGACGTAGTAAAATGTAGAGCCTTTTAGCGTAGTAAAATATAGAGCCTTTTAGTGTAGTATAATATAGAGCCTTTTAGCGTATAGTCTTTGTAGTTTAAGTATGTACTAACTACAAACTCTATCCAATTATACTCTACAAAATTAATTATTTAATTTATAAAAATAAATTCATAAAACTAACAAATTAATATATGTTGTCAAATTAACTCAAATATCGAGCCTAGAACCCATAGATAATTACTCAGTCCAGCTGGAAAAATAATTATTTAATTTATTAAACTAACAAAATTCTAAAAATATCGAAATTGACACACATAATAATTAAGGATAACTTGGTGCAAGTCCGAGCTTGGTATGCAGAATTTTTAAATATAGATCGCAGTACAATACTGAGTTTTATCAATTTGAATTATTGTTATGTCAGTTATCCGCAGAGCACTTATTGGTGGGCCCAAATTTAAAAGCGAAACGCAGTATAATACTGCGAGTTGGTTGATCGCAGTATTATACTGAGTTTTCCAAAAAAAAATTATTTTTTTAATAATTCGCAGTATAATACTGCGAATCACTTTAACGGCTAACTTTCCGTTAAAGTAATTCGCAGTATAATATTGTGAAGTATGTAGTTGTGTAACTTTTTTTTTTAACAGTAAAAAGATATTTTGTGCCCAAAAAGGCACTATTTAAGTTTTGGACTCATGTCTCTAACTTACGAAGTTTCATAATAATCCCTACGAAGAGAAGACATTGAGAGTCGTAAACACAAGAAAACAAAAAGACTAATGGCATGTTTGGCCAAGCTTTTAAAATCTGCTTATTTTGAGAAGCGCTTTTTTCAAAAGTGCTTTTCAAAGAAGTACTTTTGGCGAGAATCAGTTTGTGTTTGACTAATTAATGTGAAAAACACTTTTGAGCAGTAATTAGTGTTTGGCCAAGCTTTTGAAAACTGCTTCTAAGTGTATTATTTTTCTCAAAAGCGCTTCTCAGAAAAGTACTTTTGGAGAGAAGCTACATTTTTCTGCTTCTCAAAAACTGCTTCTGCTTCTCCTCAAAAGCACTTTTTTCCTTCTAAAAGCTTGGCCAAACACCTCAATTTTTTGCCAAAAGCACTTTTGACAAAAAAAAAAAAAAACACTTTTAGCCCAAAAAAAGCTTGGATAAACAGGCTAGTTTATAGGAGCCAACGACAACTCAATTCACAACTGAAAAGCACTTTCCGGATTGTTGGCTGAATTTACAGTAGAGAAACAGCCTTCAAATTGATGAAATATATGCATTTTTAGTACAACACCCGACACGAGAGAAAAGGAAAAACAATTTAGTTATTTGAGGCATATTATCAAACATCTCGATGCATCAGTGCAGTAATTGGATAAATAACTGGCACGCAAATAAAATATCCAACAAAATCTATAGATTCAAAGAAAATTTTACAGAGGAACAAAATTTTGTGGTTTTCTCAAATTCTTCTTTCAAATCTCAACAAACCAAAAGTACTTTTATGCTTCTCTACAAATTAAAAAGAAAAAATTACAGAAATTAAAAGCAGAAAAAGCGTATAGATTAAAAACAAAGTGAAAAATAAAAATGGGCAGTAGAAAACGGAACAATTAAATCACCAGGAGCGGAAGGAAGGAGAGAGATAATAAGAAATGGACGACATCAAAGAGTGGGAGTACACAATTATCATAGATGCATATGCAAATCAGATAGAATTAGTGACATGCATGTTAAAGATCTACCAAGAAATTATGCACAAAGTAGTAAAAGCAAAAATGTACAAATGGAGAATTTGGGAAATTGATACTCAGAAGCGAATGACAAATGGAGTGGGAGAAACAAAAAAGTTTATCTATATATTATTAAAAGAAGAGGACAAAGTCATGTCCTTAACTTAAGTGGCAGCCTAAAAAAAAGCCACATGCCATAGTTAGTTACTAATTAGTTATTTAGTTAATAATTAGTTATTATTTTTGAATTTAAATAGCTATAAAAAACGAAAATAACAAAAAATAAAAAACTACTATATATATATATATATATATATATATATATATATATATATATATATATATATATATATATAT